TTACAAAGTTTTCCGGCCGCCCTAACATATTTTCAATGAATTTGTACGTTTTTCCTTCACCACGCAGGTTTTTTTTTATTAATCGACACTCTACAACGGTGCAGTGGCTCGAACGACGCATTATAAATAATTATTTAATCTTCTTTTCAATTTTTGGGGTTCAAAGTAGTACTATTAAATTGATTTGAATAATACTTCGCAATAGCCACTTATTTTCCTTAAAGATTTTCTTTAAAGATTATAGCTATTGGAGGAGGAAGTTTTAGGGCGTGGAAATAGTCCAACAATTTGAAAATAAGCTTTTTTAAGTTTTATCCAGGTTTGACAAAGTCATGTATTTATTAGCATTTTTTTTTATAATAATGCGAACAAGTAAAAGGAAAATAATAATGAATATTCTTGTTTTACTTTAAAAAAATTCAATATTGAATAAGGGAAAGAAACGAGTTTTCATTCAATTGTGTTAAAGTTAATTTCCAATTGGTTGATGGGTTGGGGATCGCGTTGGCTACTCCATTACTTTGATGCTATTGATCCTAAACCACTCTTTTGAACACTTAACCTTGCGTAGTCCTAACGAGCGGCTCCAGAATGTTGTTTGAACGGTAGTTTTTGGTGTTTTTATGGTTTTAGGCTGTATTTTTTTTAGTCTTTAACTTGGTGAATACCTCGATCAGATTTAACTAAGTACTGAGACAGGAGAAAAAAGAAAGAAAAGATAGGTACTGGTACAGTAGCAACGGAATTATACACTAAAACAACTAATGCACTTGAATACTAACAGAATTTATTACAGAGCGTCTTTGTTTTGTCTAGCAATTTTTTATGAACATAATGCTATGTGGGGAGCCTATTTAACTGCTGGCTCATACATTGTCTTGGAAGCTTGAAGTAAATTCGCTACTTCTCTTTACGAATTTCCATGTTTGACTAAACATTTAACATGCTCTCGGGTTTTTGGGTCGCAATTCTTACCCCTTGATTAATAATTAATCTGAAAATATATTATTTACCTCCCTATTCTTGAAATTAAAAACGCTATAGTAAAAATCTTTCCGTTATTATTTAAAAACGACACCGTGTCCTTATTAAATCACAAAGCCATATACTGGATTTGTTGAGCACATAATGGCTATTTATGTAATGAGACTCCGTCGCCAAGAACTGGCATTCATCCCGGTGGATGAACGTTTAGCCACAATCTGCATCAAAGCGAAGTTCTTCAATATTTCACTGATTTGCTCTCACGCCTCGACGACAGAGAAGGACGGTGCTTGTCGACTTTAACGCCAGGGTGGGCAAAGAAGGTATCTTTGGCACAACGGTCGGTAAATTCTGTCCCCACGATGAAATATGGTTGTCTGTAGTATTAGATTCTAGCATTGAAAAATTCACCAAGTTACCTGTCTGTCTCCGGATCGAAGAGCCACTAACCAACGGAATACACGTCTCCATTGTTTTAGACATGTGTATGCTTTGAGGTTCTAACATCAACTCGGACCATTATTTATGTTGCAAATACACACCCGCCTGTGCAGCAAAAAACTCACATCAACAAACACAAGAAAGTTTCGACGTCGAAAAGCTGCAATCACAACATACAGCCGAACGATTATCTACTCGACTTGCACTCCTGCTCTCTGGGAGCACTCATCAGCAACTCGGTATAAGGCAACTGTGGGACAACATTTCAAGCTACTTGCGTAAAGCTATGTTGGTTTTCGGAAAAAAAATAGCTGGTACGATGAGGAGTGCCGTGTCGCAGCGGACAGAAACAGATTGCCTACCTTTGCCTATGTCAAGTGTTAAGGGGGGAGCCTGCTTTAGAGGCTTCAAAAAATCAATTTTGTTGAGGATTTTTTGGGGAAGGAAATAAATAATTGATTCAAGTAAAATTTCTAGGCTTTATAGTTATATATTTGAACATCTTTCAAAAATTTTTTGGATACGAAATCTTTGATATTCTGCCTTTGGGAAGCAAGTGCCCGATGCATTCCCATGTGCATTTTTCGGACGGCGGGCAGAATGCTGGTCGCAATTTCTATCAGAAATAAAAAAATCTAAGAGATTCATATTTTTTAATAACGCATAGCGGAACCAGTCAAAAACGCTACTGCCTTCCTTCCTTTTCTTTCCTTATCGAGCAAAATGTGTGATCAGTTGAGCCTGTGGCAAAAACGCAGAAATCAGAAATCTTTGTTTGTTTTCATTTGAACAATGTTGCCATTGCTCAATACGCATATATAGTTTTGTACACATCTATGTTTTCAATTAAAATTTTTTGTAATATAAAATATCAAAACTGAAAACAAACTATTAAAAATAGTTTATATATTTATAAATAATAGCATTCGACTCTGATTTTGTGTTATTTTAAGAAAATTTCAAACATATTGAACAGATTGAATTATAAAAGTTGATATTTACTACAGTATATACATATATAACCCTGCGTTGTGAGAGAGCAATCAGCTGACACGTTTCTACGGCAAAAATCCAAATGCCGTGAATTCTCACGTCATCCTACGTCAAAGAGAGAAGGGAGTAGCGTTTTTCACTGTGCACTTACATTGCGCGCCGATAAGATGGGTCGTATCAGCTGACACGGGCCACGATTCTACGTTTTTCACTGTTTCTGCTATTATCTTCTAGTTAAACTAAGAAAATTCCAAAAAAATACGTCAAATTAAAATTAAAAAAAAAATAAAAAATTGAAAAAAGGGGGTTTTGTCTAAAGGAAATCTTACTTAATGCTGTTTAAAAATATGTTTAAAATTGACTTTTCTCAGTTTATTTATTATAGTTTAAATAGAAGATGCTCTTAGATCTTTTTAAAGAGACTTAAGCTTCTAAAGCAGGTTACCCCATTAATAAAGAATTCGTATCAGAATTTATTAATGTTATAAAAAATTAATTAGCAATTTGGCAAACGAAAAGTCTTAAATATAAAAATAAAATTGAGAAAATTAAAAGTTGGAATAACTTATTAACGAAATACAAAGAAATAGATAAAAGTGCTACATTAGAAATAAATTTCAAGAAATATTCCGCTTGCCTGTGGCACATGTTTACCGTGTGAGGAACGAACGCAAAATGGATTTGTGTGTCGTGTATGGGCGAAACGAATTCACACGAAACTATTGATTATTTGTGTTACAGTTAGATGAACAAATCTATTATATTCTATAGCAACCATGTTCCGACAGTATGAAAACAACAAAAACTAAATTCAATACTTGGAGTGTTGAAAATATTGTTGATAATAAATAGATAAATAACTGAGGAATGCACTGCGACCTTAGGTCTATTGTGCCCTCTCCTAAATCACAGGGACTTGCTTAGCCCCAGCATATTGACGAAGTCAAGTATTCTGCTGGGTGCTAGCGAGGCGATGTGATCCCAATCCGGAAACATGGCTCCAAGGGCCTTCGACCTGCGCCTACAGACTGCAATGCAGTCGATGACCAGGGTCCCTAACGCAAAACCGACAGTTGGCGCAAGATGATAGGCCCATGTTAGCTAAGTGCCTTTTCAGCTTGCAGTGGCCGGTATAAAATGCAACCAGGATCCTGAGTTTGTTTCTTGGRAGRTTAATTAACGATTTAAACCTCTTTTGGTTATACCTCCAACTAGCAGCTTGGCATGACGCATACCGTGCGCTCGCTGCCAATACCCGCACCTATTCCTTCCGACGTTTTTGAGCCGTCGGTGTACCACCTCAATGTACTATCCCTTAGCATTTGCTCAAGAGTGGGGTCGTTCCACTCACTCTTGCTACCGAGGGTAACCTTAAACCTTTTCTTGAAATGAGTTGATTTAGTAATGCCGTCCTTTAGGAGGAGGGCAATAGGGATGTCGTCACTTATCCTCTCCATCATCTGGGACGAGATTATCTTGSCTTTKCCGCATCCCTCTGCTGTTATCTGCAGAAGTGAGTGCTTGGCTACTTGACCTATCATTATATGGAGCRGTGTRAGTTCCARCAGGACCTCCAGAGCTGCCGTCGGACAGGTTCGCATAGCGCCCGTCATGCAAACACATGCTAGCCGCTGAAGCTTCGATAGTCGGGTTACCACCGAAGCCTGCGACGCTACGGAGGCCCAGGACACCGCCTCGTATGTAATTATCGGTCGCACAATCATGGTGTACAACCACCTAACGATCTTAGGCTTACAGACCCAGGATTTACCCGCCAGCCGTTTGCACACCATTAACGCTTTGGTAGCTTTGACCAGCGTTTGGTTCACATGCTGCTTCCACCGCAGGGTAGAGTCCAGCGTAAGACCCAGGTATTTAACTTTGCTAGTCATCTCGATCTCTCTGCCCCCAAGTGTGAGGTTYCTCAAGCCGGGTRGGGACCTGCGCCTTGTGAAAGGGACTACGGTTGTCTTTGAGGGGTTGATGTTTAGTTCCACTCTCCTGCACCACCCCTTTGCCAGATTTAGACCCCGTTGCACTAGGTCACAGAGAGKATCTTCAAATTTGCCTCTTGCTATTATCACAATGTCGTCCGCATACCCTTGGCAGCGGATCCCATTGTCAGTTTGCAATGCTAATAGTTCGTCCTGTTGATAATTAAAACTATATTTGTTACAGATTATTTCATAAAATTTATTTTGCATACTTTTTCATCTATAATACACATTCCTATGTTTCTATATAAACATCCTTACTATTATCATAAATAATAGTTTGCTCTTATTGAATTGGATTTAAAACTTTACCTATACTTACTATCCGACCAGTGCTTTTTTCTTCAATATAAAAAGCAAAAGGTCGATCTACATGAAATCTCTCATATTTAGTTGTTCGATTTTTCTGGTAGTCTTCCACTCGAGCTTTTCCGCTTCCATTGAACTGAACGACTGTTGTTTGCAAAATATTTATCTTCTCCGTTTCAACGCCAAATGCAGGTTCAAAATCAACATCAAAGCGATGTGAAGAGTTCTTTTGAATATGCTCTCTCATGTTTGTGATGAAGTGATACTTGAATGTGGGCATTACTACATTCACACGCCGTTCTACCATCATCCATTCGATACGCTTAAGCTGTTCGTAGCCGAGATTATTGATCGTTTCGTTGACACCTTGTTTGGTATGGGGTAGAATAATGTACATAAAATAACCATTACTATAAGGTAATTCTAATATTTTAGCATCCAAAATTTGCGAATCAAGATACTTCAAATATTCCGTCGTTTCTACACCCGGTAATACGATTTTACTATCCGGTCTTTCATGAAATGTAAGCTTCAGTGTATATTTGAAATTAATCTGTAAAGTCTCCTTAAAATTTAACATATTTAAAATTAAGACTTGCAAATTTGATTCTTTAAAAATCGTTTCACTTGATTTAAGAATATTTTGATCCGTTATGCTTTTAATCCAACCGTTGATACTAGTAATTAGCTTATTTTTTTCAGTGAAAGATGTCTCTTGAATTTTACAATCATAAAACCATTCTAAAGTTTCCGGATTATTTAAAATCATCTTTGATTCGGCGAAAATTACGTTTTGTCCTAGCATCATTTCATCGACTCCGAAACGTAAATTCATGCTCGGTGGTGTTTTTAGTAGCGCTTTTATATTGCTTGGTGAAACAACAATATTATTTTCGGCATTTTGCAATATTCGCGTTACATCCAAAATATACCACGAGTAAACGTTGTCATCCACGTTCTGCACAAATCCATCATCCTGTCTGTAACCCAATGCTGTCGCACCCAATACAAATAACAATTTCATAAGGAATTGCCGCTCCATTTTATATGCATGTGTTAATGCTTCCATTTTCCAAATTCCAAGTATTTAATAAGATTACGTTTAACGGCGGCGTATAAATCTTTTCAAAAGAAATTTGAACCGCACATCACAACAGCTCTGTACAAACTGCATCGCGCATATAATTTATAGATCATTGCTGAGGTTATCTGAGCTATCTTCTCTTTCAATATAATACATTTAATCGCCGATCATATACACACATGTTTTTGGCTTAGTTGAGGATTTATGATAGAAAATCTTTTGTATGTATGTTCTTCGTTGTTGTAATCTTCATATGACGCTAAGTGTGACTGATCAGAATGGGAGTCATGCTGCATGTTTGAAGGATCTCACTCTCAGGTGGACTGGCGGCGTTGGACGCGAACTTGGTGCAGGTTGCACAGCCTAAATTACTGTTAATAAGAGTCTTACTAATGCTGGACAAACTGGCATGCGGTAATCATTCGTCCCCTCATTCTGTTCATTGAGTAATCTACATTTTTTGTTACAATAACAAGGGTAGATAATTTTTGAAAAAAAAACCAAAATGTGGATTAAGCATTTTGGAAAAGTAAGTAATGAAAGAAAAAATAATTTATTTACGATCGTACTGAAATTTACGGGTCCTGTTGAAAAAAGTTATCTGACATCTGACAATATGTTTCACAATTTAGGTGAAAAATCTAATTTAAGAAATGTGGTTATGTGTATGTGATTAATAATCCTTTTATGTTCCAAATTCCAGTTTTTTTTTGTTTAAAGTATATACATATCTTTTTTATCTTAATTTTGACTTAATAAAAAAAGGTCGCTCATTTTCAATTGATTTTTGTGCGTTCACAGTTTAGTGTCTTTTGAAGTAACGGACATAGTTTAACGTTTCAGTTATTGCAATATCCAAATACTTCAATAAATTAATATATGAGCTATGTGGCAACACCAAAGCAATTTTACCTCACAAACAGCTGTTAGAATTGTCAAAATAACCTCATTCTTGTAGCACCACTAAAAATGACAATATCAATGCGTGATAGTGATTATTTAACAATCTATTTGTGCTAAATGCGATCAGGGATCCCAAATCCTTAACTATAAAGCGAAAATAGTGCGATGCGCATACGTCGTCCACGCGGTGTTACAGTGCAGCAATTGATGGTAGTTACTGCAATCGGTTTCTTGGGTGGTGTATACATTTGGAAACCAGTTATATTGAAATATCGTGCCGAAGGCACTGAAGTAAAGGAAAACGTTGACAATTTGAAAGAAAAAGAACCAGTTGGAGCGCTAACTTCTAGCAGTGTGCCTGCAAATACAGTTGGGGGAAAAAGTGGAATAAATACTTAAAAAAAGGAAACAAAAGTGAGTGATGGAGATTTGTGTACTTTCGTATTTACTGTTAAATTTGAGGGTATGCGCTTTTTTTTAGTAGAATAGTTATAGCACATGATTTATATGTCTATCTGTAGCACAGTAGCATCTACGAAACTGAAAGTGGACGGAATTATAGCTTGGTACATTAACTCAAAAACTACCAGCACTCGACTTATTTGTATTCCAATAATTGTTTTCACAATTTCGACAACTTCAGCAATAACAACTAATATTAAACAAAGACTAATAAACTTTGTACACATAAAATGAATGGCTAATATATTAATAATAAAAATAATATATTTAATAATAAAAATTAAAAATTGCGAATTTAATTTTTTCAACCCCAAAACAATTGAACATTCGATAAAATGATTAAATGTAATTAATATAGCTCATTTTGTCTTAATTATATTTAACTACATACATATTTTGACATTTTGTTAAAAAATAAGTTTTCCTCTTCAAAATATAAGCAAAATGATAAAATTAGAATTAAATTAAATAAAAAATAAAAAAAATCGTTTTTAATTTTTTATATAATATAAAAAATAAGGGTGTATGGGATTTAGCATATTTATTATTTTCAATCCGGTGTTTGGGTTTAGAAATTATTTTAATTAAGATTTTTTGTGTAGTTAACAAAAAAAATCTTTTTACTTAATAACTTAGATGATACAGGTACAGGCCACAAAAGACCAACGCCTGGCCAGAGGAAACATCTCCATCCCCTTTTTTGCATTGAGAATAATTCGACGATCATCAATCAGGGCAGTTTTTCTTGGAAGACCACGAGTTTCGTTTTAATTTTTTTGCTTTAGAGCATTAGTTACAATGTTTTCCGACCGCTCTAACATACAGTGGCTCACAGCTTATTTTATGCAGCACATATTTTCGACTTTAAAGCTTTATATCTAAGAGACTATAAGGAATTTATTAGACTTCTTCTTCTTCTTGATTGGCGTAGTCACCGCTCACGCCATTATAGCCGAGTTAACAACCGCGCGATAGTCGTTTCTTCTTTTCGCTACGTGGCGCCAATTGGTCCTTCCAACGGAGTGGTGGTCTTCCTSTTGCTCTGCTTCCCCCGGCGGGTACTGCGTCGAATGCTTTCAGAGCTGGAGTGTTTTCGTCCATCCAGACAACATGATCTAGCCAGCGTAGCCGCTGTCTTTTAATTCGCTGAACTATGTCAATGTCGTATATCTCGTATAGCTCATCGTTCCATCGAATGCGATATTCGCCGTGGCCAACGCGCAAAGTACCATAAATCTTTCGCAGAACTTTTCTCTCGAAAACTCGCAACGTCGACTTATTCGTTGTTGACATCGTCCAAGACTCTGCATCATATAGCAGGACGGGAATTATGAGAGACTTATAGATTTTGGTTTTTGTTTGTCGAGAGAGGACTTTGCTTCTCAATTGCCTACTCAGTCCCAAGTAGCACCTGGTGGCAAGAGTTATCCTGCGTTGGATTTCTAGACTGACATTGTTGGTGGTGTTTACGCTTGTTCCAAGATAGACGAAATTATCTACAACTTCAAAGCTATGACTGTCAACAGTGACGTGAGTGCAAAGGCGCGAGTGCGACGACTGTTTGTTTGATGACAGGAGATATTTCGTCTTCCCCTCGTTCACTGCCAGACCCATTTGTGTTGCTTCCTTGTCCGGTCTGGAGATGCGGGTGTTATATCAATATCATCGGCATACGCCAGCAACTGTACACTCTTATAGAAGATGGTACCTTCTCTATTTAGTTCTGCAGCTCGAACTATTTTCTACAGAAGCAGGTTGAAAAAGTAGCACGATAAGGAATCGCCTTGTCTGAAACCTCGTTTGGTATCGAATGGCTCGGAGAGGTCCTTCCCGATTCTGACGGAGCTTTTGGTGCTGCTCAACGTCAGCTTACACAGCCGTATTAGTTTTGCGGGGATACCAAATTCAGACATCGCTTCATAAAGGCAGCTCCTTTTCGTGCTGTCGAAAGCAGCTTTTAAGGTGGTGAGTGTCGATTTTCCTTTCACGGGTCTTTTCCAAGATTTGGTGAATATCTGGTCGGTTGTTGATTTTCCAGGTCTGAAGCCACACTGATAAGGTCCAATCAGTTTATTGACGGTGGGCTTTAATCTTTCACAAAATACACTCGATAGAACCTTTTATGCGATATTGAGGAGGCTTATCCCACGATAGTTGGCGCAGATTGTGGGGTCTCCTTTTTTGAGGATTGGGCATAGCACACTTAAATTAAAATCGTTTGGCATGCCTTCGTCCGACCATATTTTACAAAGAAGCTGATGCATGGTCCTTATCAGTTCTTCGCCGCCGTGTTTGAATAGCTCGGCTGGCAATCCATCGGCCCCCGCCGCTTTGTTGTTCTTCAGGCGGGTAATTGCTATTCAAACTTCTTCATCAAAAGTGCGGTCACTCATCGGAGGCTGTTGTTGCGTTTTCATTGGGGTGGTTTTTTTACGTGGCGCATCCCAAASCCTGCGCACAACCCTATGCAGGGAATGTTCCGCCTTCTCACTTTAGCTCGCCTTCAAACGGATGTTCTTAGGCTACCCAGAGGATACTTGGTAAGGGACCCAAAGTCGTGAGCTGCTTGAGTCATATGTAAAATAATCATTTCTGGCCACTCCCAAGTGAATATCGATCTGAGAACTTTCCTCACTTGCGTGATCTTCTACACATGACTCCATCCTCCCATTAGACTAGTGTCATTAAAAAGATTCAAAAATTAATTTTCAAAATTTTTTTTGACAAAACCAAAATATTCGAAAACAGAAATTATTTCATATATTCTACAGCAAGGGCCGAAAAGTGTCAGGAATTTGAAAATACTTAAGAGGTTACTTAAATATGATCCTAAGAGTACCTATGTTAGAAAAATCATGTAAGGATAAAATAAAAAGTCGATTTATTTTATTAAATCTATAATCTTGTAAAAAAATTTAAACAGGGTGTTTTATTTTGCTATACATAGTTTCCTATAGTCTCACGAAGATATCACTAAAGGTCGTTTTTATATTGCAGATGAGCGACACTAAAATTTTTGTTGCGTTGAAAAATTCACCAGTTGGTTTTATGGCTGCTGGTATATTCTCGACGTTTGCCATAATTGGCACATATCGTTTCGCCATTAAGCCGCATCTGGATCGTCGACGTCGTGAGGAAGCCGAAGCATATGCCGAATATATATTTCAACAAGAGAGATCGAACGCAACAGCCTTCAAGCAATAACATATACACAGAAATTAAAAAATAATAATAATAACAAAAATCCAAATATTTACAATAGTATAATTTAGGTAATTGTAAGTAAGGAATATAAACAATTTCCCATTGTTTTCAAATGCAAATTATATTACACAACATACATACAACCACACGCATCTTATAAATGCATGTTAAATATGCTGTAATTTATTTGCGTTTGCAGCCGTTGGGAATGTTGAAAGACTTTTTTTTGGCTATGTTTAATTTAAATTTAACTTTAATGAATCGTAATTTTGCGAAGGTGCACGGCAAAAAAAAAGAAATGCTCAGAAAATATTGTAATTTATTATCGAGAAATTAAAAAAAAAAAACTTTAAACGCTGAAAGTTGAAAAACACTGTATCAGTGATAAGAAATGAAATTGATTTTGTTCTTTTTATTGTTAAAAAATTTTAGTTTCTTACATATAATGAATTTTCGAAACACCATATGAATTCAGTAATAATTTTATATTTTTTACTTATTGAAATGAAATTAAAAATGAATGAAACTAAGAAAAATG